CTTAGGCCTGCTCCCCAGGGGATTGGGCCTAAGCTGGCAATCAGACATCCCTCTGGCAGCCTGGAAGCCCTCGGGGGATGTCCACTTGGCAGCGGGGAGCAGGCCTAAGCTGCAGTCGGACATCCTTAGCACTGCTGAGGAGTCGGGAGAGGCTCCTACTATCACTGCTCTACTGGTAGACCACCAGGGGGTAGCTCCTGCATTGAGCTTCTGCCCCCTTGGGTTAGGGACTGAGTGCCATTTTCAGGCTGGCCATGCCCCCAAGCGACTCAAGCTTTCAGCCTCTCCTTTTTTCTTTTTTTTTCCCAGGGCGGCCTGGAAGCAGGTATCTGGGATTTATTTATCTTCTATAATTGAAACTTTATAGCCTTGAGTGGAGCCCAGGGCCAGTCAGGGAAGGCGGGAAGCTTGGCTTCTTCCATTGCCGGGGGCAACCCAAGCCTCCTGCTCACTCTAGGTTTGTGGCCATAGCTATCTTAGTTGGGTTAATTTGCATACTGGCTCCCGATTGGCTGGTGGGCATGGCTGGTGGGCGTGGATTGATGGTTAATTTGCATCTTTCTCTTTTGTTAGTGTAGCTGTTTTATTGAGTACCAGTTTTGTGCTGTGCACCTTTCTAGGCATTACAGCTATTACAGTGAGCAGCAGATAAGAGCCTAGATCTATCTCTTGGAGCTTACCTTCTAGTAGGGGGAGAAAACTAGTGAAGAAATAAATTATATAATTTCAAATGATATAAGTGTAAATAACCTAATGTGAGAGACTAGGAGAGATGCTATTTAGGTAAGAGGTCAGGGAAGAGCCCAAGAGCTGAGCTGGGGGTACAATGGAGCCAGCCATAGGCTGGGCCCTAACATGGAATGATACTGGTTCAGTAGAGGAACAGAAAGAAAACCGATAAAGCTGGCGGGTGGACAATGAAGAGAGTACTAGGTCTGTTTAGGAAAGTGAAGGCAGGGCCCAAATCACACAGGACCTTAAAACGGTGGGTTTTATTCTAATTGCATTGGGGAGCCATTGGAGTGTTTTTGAGGAGGATTTCATTGTTTTAAAGTGATTCTTTTGATCTCCGTTTGGAAAATAGTTGCAGGGAGCAACATAGAAGCAGAAAGACCAGTTAGGAAACGTGCAGTAATCCGTGTGGGAGATGATGGTGACTTGAACGATGGAAGTGGTAAGAAAAGTGTAGAGAAGTGGGTGGGTTTGGAGTTAGAACCAACAGGGCTTGTTGATGCATTTGGTGAGGATCAGGGAAAG